TGCTTTTCACATAACATCCACACTTCTCCTCCACCTTCCGAAACAAGCCACCCGTCAACCCTCAAACTCCATAATGATTTCTTTTTCATCTCATTTTTTTTTCTTCATCTCGATGATGTTGTTTGTTGGTGGATAATGAGGGTGTGGATGATGATGTCGTCGGTCCGGCGACTAGGCAGACGACCCGCGGCCGAGTTGGTGGCGGTGGGCGGCTAGTCTTTTTTTCTCTCTACTTCTTTTCTTCTTTCAAGGCACCTCTCGACTGATTTGGATGCAAAGACTCTTTGATGAAGAATGTATTGGCTGAGAATAACTTGTGCATGACAAACAGATGCTGTATTCGTATTCATCAAGTGGACAAGTGGTCCTTGCATCCTCTCTCCAGCTGACTGCAAGAGGCGAGATCCTATGCCAATGACTCCTCAAAAGTAACAAAATTGCTACGAATAAGAAGCAAAAGAAAAGTCATTGTGACACATTAACTCTCTTTTACTCTCTTCAGTTTCGCCATGGTCAATGCATCTGTCAACGGTAGGTTGTCAGAGACCCGGCCCGAGGGCAAGGGTACCGGGGCTCCAAACTGTGCATTGATTATCACCGGGTGCTATTGAATTTTTGCTGTTTTGAGCAGGCGAATGTAACCGTGATTGATGAGATTTGATGCAGATAGAGACGGTAGCTGGGGAAGGACGGGCGATTTCGACTCGTCACAAACAAAAAAGAGAGCGTGGTATCATGACTGCAGCACAACCCGACTATCGGCAAAAGGAAACAATAGCTGCGTGGTGTTGCCATTGACATGACTCTGCTGGTCTGTGATTTGACATTGGGCTCTCAGCTGCGTCCGAGAGGATTTCCCTCCTGTTGCATGTCAGCGAGTAATAACATTAAGCCACCAATTCACTTTCTCATCTCTCTTGTCTTTGCCGTTGTCGTCATCTTGGAGACCCGTTTGTCCATGAGGCTCTCCTCTCACCCCCGGTGGCTGCAGAGTTGTTGACCTAGACGGCAGGGGTCTTCTTTCTCGGAACAGGGCTACCAACCCCGGACGCCGCCGTCGACGCCACCCCATGCTCTCCGTCGCCTGCCGGTAGGTCTTCTCCTGTGCCTGGCTTTCTTCAAGGTCTGAAAGTGGAATCGGAGTACAGGCGACTGGATATGCCGCAATTCAAGTCTTGGCAACCTCTGCTCGCCGATATGTAGGTAAAAGACGGAGGTGGGACGCCGAGTCAGGGGGACCATCTCGCTCGCCCCTGGCCATCTATGCTAGATGATGTCCCTCTGAACGCACAGTATCTCAGGCACCGATACCTTGGATCGTGATTGATGAAAAAAAGTGAGAGGTCAAAGTTCCTCTTTGCCCCCGCGAACTCTGCACCTTGCGTCTCATCCGGTGCGGGCAATCCCACAACCATTACCACTACCCGAACGCACTGCCGGGTGAGTGATGGACCGCCTGTGTGTCTCTGGGGGTTACATGGTAGGAAATGCAAAATGGCAGCCGCTTAATATCAGGACGCGCCCAACGGTTCCGTAACGGTGCTGGAGCCGTGGTCGTGGGGTAGAACGGAACGGGACCCTTGACTGTCTTGACTCGGACTCCCAGCATGCCAAGCAAAAAACACGCGGCTATTGGAGCCTGTCCCTAGGTTGTTTTAAAAGCCTGAAGAGTTTTCAGTCCACTGCGGGAATGTCAACGTTGGTCGTTAGCTTGATCAACTGCCCCTTGTCAAAGGACAATGGGGTCTGACAGCCAACAGGGACAGCAGCGATCTGGGAATGTATTCCGCACACGGCCTACAGGATATCCGTATTTCATCTCATAGCCGACATTGCGATGCCGTCAACATGTAAATCTCAAATCTCAACGTTCAAGGATTGAGCCGACCTCTGCATCACCGGAGACGAGTCGGCATCTATGTTGGTTTGGGGGGAGGTCTGCAGTAGAGGGAAGACGCAGTAGGTAGAGATGCAAGACGCACTCAGATGCAGGTACGTCATGCCAGGTCGTATTCGAGAGACGGCGAGGCTTGAATCTGATGCAGTTGCCATGTGCCTCACAAGCCATGGCATGGATATCGCGCGGCACTAATATGCACTCTTCCCGCGAGAAGCGTCCAAGTTGGAGGAATTGGTGAGATCTATGGTTAGCCGCCGACACCAACATGCTCGTTCCCGTCCCATTTTGCCGCCAACGGGGTAGATGATGTTACGCTTCGCTTGATGTCCGGCTATCTGAATGGATCTAAAAGATGCTCATGACAGGAACAGGGAAGGGCAGGTCTTGACATGGACGAATCAGGCAGGCTGAGTATGGATGACTGCTTTTCTGGCGATGGAGACGATCAAGTTTCCACCTTGGGAGCAGTCAGAAGGTATCCATCCTGCAGGCATAGCCAGGGACAGTCTTGATAACCTCAAATATGGAGTGTATCGAGTGCAGCGCAGTGCAGCAAACAGACAGACAGATGCATGCGTCACATGCATGAGTACGACGGCCAGGGCCGCGGCGATGGCTTGTGGCCTGTTTCAAAGGCCCTGGACGATGTCTGGTTGGGCAATGGAGCTTTCCATGAGGCGACTAAAAAGCAAAGCTGCCGCGGCTTTTTACCATTTGTAGACCAAGATGCAACAAGCCCCTGGGCCGAGGAGGAGCAAAGAAAAAAGCACAGAAAAAATGGAAGCATGGTCTTGTTGAGGAATAGGCGGCTGAGCAAGGCAGGGCATTGTCGACAAAACAGCCCAGAGGCCCTCCGACTTTGGCCGACAGCGACAACGGTCCTTGACTTGTCATACCCATGCGTTCGTTCTTACCGCCAGTTGGGTTTGAAAGGCCAGTGCGCAGATGAGCACATGTACGCCGGAGAATTGTAAAGTAAAAAGAGACGGACGCTTGGAGTAGAGAGAGGCCGGTGCAGATCTGCCGTGTCACCAATACCAATCGTGGGAGGGAACGGAGCGGACAGACCAGGCGGAGGACCAAGTCCTCGATTGACAGCTTCGTTGGGACGGCAAGAGGCGAATCAATACTTCAGCCTTGTCTAGTGAGTGCTTCGAAGGCGCTATACAGCTGCCGTGTCCATACCGATCAATTGAAAGGCCTCGGAACTCTCCAAGACGGAGGCGGCGGCGTTGGCCGGATGCGTGGGAGCATGGTTCGGGGGTCGACGGAGAGCCTGGGGTGACCTGGGTGTGTCCGGCCGGGCACGGGGACGGGGTCGGTCGGCAGCCGAACAGTTTGGGTTTGGTTTGAGTTGGCTCTCGTCTTTCTGGAAGCATGAGGGACGGTGCATTCGTTCTCGGTCTCTTGCAGATTTGATTCCTTTTTTCCCCTTTGACGGGGAGGCGTCTCAGCAGGGTCTAGGTTGGATAAGACGTTTATGTTTTCTTTTGGCATCCCGAGTAAAAAGGTACGTACCTGCCTGAAGATTCAGCAGGCAGCTACGGAGCACTCGGTACCTTCCATAACCTTTGGCTGTCGTTCCAACCTTCCCGAGTCCTCCTGTGCTGGAATTCAGAGGGTCAACTCGACCGTTAATTGATCCAATCTTCGTCTAATAGACTTTTTGCACGTTACATCTACCTACTCAACCCAAAACTCGTCTCCCCAGATGGCAGAGGTCAGCGTCGCGTGAGGCTTCTCTCAGTTGGCAATGGCGTGGACCTCATTCGCAAGGCTAACTGAGACCTGAGTGGAGGCGGCGTCTGCGTCTGGGCTCTGTCGTTCCTGGTTCCTGGCTTGCCGAGGCGCGCTTCTGCCCTAGGTTCTAGGTACCGAAGCGAGCTACCGACGGATATGGGAATGTGGGAGACAGGGAAATGGCACGAGCAAGGGTGTCTCTGAGCTCTTGATCAAGAAAGCCGGCCTATTCCCAGCGGGTTCATCTCGAAGGAACACGGTACGGTACGTACGGTATCCATCACATTACCGACCGAAACTGCCATGCCATGCCATGCCATGAACGAGATGGACTCCGCCGATGGATGCATCATACTATTCCCAACCACGGGTTCGGGATTTCTCGTTCGTGAGCCATCTCACAGAGGAACGGTTTACCCCGATCTGCTCAGGCCCTCCCCCGTGGCGGACAGCATCTCGAGTCTGGACCTTGATCGGTTCGTGAGGCCGTCACATCTCAATTCTCCAGCCCAGCTGTGCCATGCTATGCCACGCCGTGCCATGCGCCCACCGTCGTCCTCGTGGGAGGAGAGATTGATGAGAGCAACCTAACCTCCACAGGCACGAGGTTGGCACGTTTGGGTCCCACGAGGCAACTCCCATGATCCCTTCGATCCAATCCCATGTCGTTCGCCACACGCCCCCCAGGTTCCCCTTCCCCCCTCTTCAGCTCCACGGAAAAGAGACCGAGAGAGAGTTTCGTCGACCTGGAAATATGGTGGTTCTCGAGCCTCAGCAAAAAGCCCATCCATGACGGAATCAAGCGTTCCGTATACAAGAGCTCCTCCAAGCAACGTTCCACACCTCAACAGCCGCGGGCTGGACTCCTCAAGGCAAAGCCCGGGTCCAGCTTAGCCCCATGCCCTTCCCCAGTTTGAACCTTGGCCTAGCTAACGAACAAGCCCTTCTAGCTTTTTTTTCCTCTCTAGCTTGAGGAGCACTCCGCCGCCGCCAAAAAGCAAAGGATCCCCTGCATGCTATCGTACGACTTCTTGGAGGTTAGGGATCTTGGACTATGTTCTCTGCCAACACGCCCTCCCCTTGACGGGGTGTTCGACAGCACAAGCCACGAGGAATCGTCGGCTTGTGGAGAAGTCGGGTTTTCACCTTTCTTTTCCCTCTTCTTTTCTTTGTCGACAATCTCTGCTCGGATGGGCGTATGTCACAGCCTGGAGGGGCGTGGGAGCAGGGCAAAGAGGCATGGAGGAGCGAGCCCATCGAGGATAAAATATCTGGGGGAGGACGCTTCTTGGATTCCGATTCTGAACCTCAGTATCTTCTCGTCTGCCTGCCTCGAGCCAAAAAGCTTCTTCCTTCTTTTTAAGCTTGCTCATCACATTCCATCCATCTATCATTGGACAGTGGCAACATTACTTCTTGAACCTAGTTCATCAACGAATACATCAATCATCTACAGCCCTCCTCAAGACAGTCGACATACTGTCTCGAGACGATCTACTGTCTAACAGTATCCTCCTCCTTCACATCAAACTTCACAATGGCCCTGTCCTACCAGCAGACCAGGCTCATCCGGGGCACCATCCCCGCCCTCACCGACCACGGCGAGCGCATCACAACCATCTTCTACCGCAACATGCTTCGTGACCATCCCGAGCTTAACGACTACTTCAACACGGTCAACCAGGCCAACGGCCGCCAGCCCCGAGCCCTTACCGCCGTCATCCTCAGCTATGCCAACAACATCAACCACATCACCGAGCTCATCCCTAAGATGGAGCGCATGTGCCACAAGCACTGCTCTCTCGGCATCAAGCCCGAGCACTACGCCATCGTAGAAAAGTATCTCATCGCCGCTTTCGCAGAGGTTCTTGGCCCCGCCATGACCCCCCAGGTGAGGGAGGCCTGGACCAAGGCCTACTGGATGCTTGCCAAGATGCTCATCGGCCGTGAGGCTCAACTGTACCGCGACTTTGGCAAGTGGCAGGGCTACCGCAAGTTCCGTATCGAGAAGAAGGTTGAGGAGTCTGATGACATCTACTCCTTCTACCTCGTCCCCGTTGACGGCAAGCGTCTTCCTCCCTTCCAGCCTGGCCAGTACGTCTCTGTCCAGGTCAGCATCGCCGAGAAGGGCTACCTCCAGTGTCGCCAGTACTCTCTGAGCGATGCTCCCCGTCCTGACTACTACCGCGTCACCGTTAAGCGGGATGAGGGCCTCCACATGACTCGCAATGGCCGATATCTCGGCGGCGGTGCCCTCAACCCTGGTGTCGTCTCCAACCTCCTCATCGACATGAAGGATGAGGGTGACATTGTCGAGCTCACCCACCCTGCCGGCGAGTTCTACCTTGACATGGCCAACACTTCCAACGTCCCCATCGTTCTCATCTCTGCTGGTGTTGGTGTTACCCCCATGATGTCCATCCTCAACACCGTCTCTGAGCGTCAGCCTCACCGTCCCGTCTCCTGGATCCATGGCTCCCGCCGCTCGGTGCCCTTCTACGACCAGGTCCGCCGCATCGCCCGCAACCGACCCAACTTCCGCTCCAACATCTTCAAGACTCACCTCGCCGAGTCTGACGTTTACGGTGTCACCTACGACCACGACTTCCGCGTTGACCTTGCCAAGGTTGACCGCGAGGACCTCTACCTGTGCCACGGCGCCACCGAGTACTACATCTGCGGCCCTGAGCAGTTCATGCTCGAGATGGCCGAGTACCTCAAATCCAAGCAGGTCGACTCGTCTCGCATGCACTTTGAGCTGTTCAGCACCGGTGACATGGAGTTCAAGGTCGACACCCTGAGCATCATCTCCAGCACCAGCGGAGGCTGCCCCGGTGGCTACAGCGCCGCCCCCAGCTCGGCCCCATCCATCAACAGCACCACGGAGCGGAAATGCCCCAGCTCCGGAGCCAGCTCCGGCCAGTGCCCCTTCTCTGCGGCATAGGCCAGCTAATGCTTGCTTACAATATTGCAATGGGATGTTAAAGCGGTGGGCTCTGGTCGGGCACCGGGGTTCTGGAGTTGGAGGGCGTTTACGGATCCGGCGCATTCTCTTTTTCACTTTGTACCAATTCTTCGGACGGATTCCCCTCTCGGACGATTCTGCGTTTCTTATGTCCTATTTCACATATATTCTTTACATACTTCTTTTTCACGGATTCAGGGGGATTGAATGACTTGGCATAACACGAAATGAGCGGGTATAAAAGCTAGAGAAGGCAAATGGCATATTGGAAAGGGTGGTGGTTGAAAAACAAAATGGGAATTAACAGAGATTTTTACGTGTAATACCAGAAGAGAACAAGGGAGATGGAAGATAACAGACAAATATCAACAAACATCCTTGAACCTAAACAATCTTTTCCTCTCTCATCTCGTTAAAAAAAAGTCAGATGCCGCGTATTAACAGGGAATATTGAATGAAGAACTCGCTGGCAGGGAATCAAGGAATCCTCCGTCTTTGCCCGATCATCGCCCAAGGCAGGGGAGGCTTGTCGAGGTGTAATTGTGAAATCAGGAGATGGGGAGTGAAATGAGAAAAACAAGCCCTAAAAGAAATAAAACAGCTCTAGAAGGAATAACGCCTGGGCCGTGAATATCCTGGGGTCTTTGTCTCGCATCACTTGTCGAGGTGGAATCTCTTCCAGTGCTTGAGCAGATTGTCATGCCGCGTAAACGTCTGACCACAGTCTGGATGGTCGCACACGACGGGTTCGGTAGCAAGGCCCTTCAAAGCTGCGAATTCTTTATGGGCGATGATGTAGTGACGGTCCATGTCTCTCTGCTCTGCCTTTGCCACTTTGCAGCTCTCGTCTGCTTCGCACCTGATGGGCCTCTTATGAGTCTTGACATGCTTGCTGTGAGCCCACGTTAGTAAGAAACTTGATGTAGAGTAATTCGTCTCTCACTTGTACTCTCGACGACCACGGCAGATGCGTCCGCATTCTTCGCATTGGTAGTCCTGTTGTGCCGCTGCGGCTGACGAGGAGCCTGCCTGCTCGTCTAACTCCCAGTTCAGCTCGTCTATGTTTCGAATCCAATCAGAGGTAGAAAAAAACGTACCATAATCGGCATCTTGGTAAGCAGGATCCGCGGCATAATAGCCCTGGGCAGCAGAGGAGGAGCTGGCATCCTGATTGATCCAGAGGTCGTTGGGGTTGACAGTTGCTGGCTGCTGCTGCCACTGTGCATAGCTACCTGGGTAGATAAGGTTAAGCTGGGGGTTTCATATGTTTCAGAGGGTGTTTCTGACTTACTTGGGCCTGCTTGGGCGTAGTCTTGAGTGTATGCTGTATAAGAGGGGTCTGTCAGGCTGGGGTCGATGGGTATCTCGTCATCCTGGGGTTGGCTGGAGCTGCTGGATTTCTTGTGTTTGTGAGATCGGTGGCCTTTTCCTTTTGGAGACATGGTAGAAGAATTTGTATGCTTTCAAGATGTTATTTGTATGCTTTCAAGATGTTATGAGAGTATAGATGAATGGATCTTTGAGTAGGTAAGGAGCCAGTTGAGTGAGCAAATGCTATTGTATCTGTTTAACAAGATCTATCCGCGTCAACTTCATCATAAAGCACCCAATTTATACTAAGCTCGTCTACTCTGACAGGTTGCCTCTGGAGGCCGACCTGGGGCCGGCCACCATTGTTCCCCGTTTCAAAGTGCATCGCCATGTTGTCGTCGCAACTGTCGAGATACCAACATGCGATGCACAAACTAGACAGAAAATCAAGACCGGTATGTTCCAAAGCACGCGAGAGCGGGTACTCCATCTCATGCAGCAGTTCGCCTCGTTGCCTGACGGGGGGGGGGGGCCGGGCGGCCCAAAATGGAGGCCAGGTGTTGGTCCAGTTTTAGTGATGGGGGGAAAGAGGCTGAGTAGAGGAACCGCGGAAGTGATAAAAGAAGACCATAAAGGTCCAATTAAAAAGGGAAAAATGAATCTGCGAGCAGAGAAATAAGGCAACCAGGTCTAAGTAGGGGGCCGGCCACACCCCGCATGATGATGGGCCTCCCAGGTCGGCCTCCAGCATTAGTGAGGCTTGGGCGAGGCGGGTGGTGATGGGAGGCCAGGGCCTTGAAAGAGGGAACCAGGAATTGAGGATTTTGCGTCATTGTTGGACTTGTATAAAGGAGGGTGTTGTGTTCGTGATGTTTGAGCCCTACAATCAAGTCGAACGAGTCACTTACACGAGTTAACAATACCGTTTTACCAATTCATCCACAGAATACATGTTTACCACAATGACATCAAGTACGAATTGGGTTCAACTCACTGTCGAATCACAATTGACATCCTTTAGACGCTCTAGTCCTCTTCAAACCCAAACAGAAGCGCCGCTTCTACGAGCCCATCGTGCTCTTCAAGGCCCTCACAGAGATCACTCACGAGGAAGGCTCCCTAGGTCTCCCCGAGGCTCCACCCAGACCGCGGACAGAGGAACAAAGATTCCACCAGTTTGTCCACAAACTCGCCGGCGTCTGCGACAGCACCAGGGGCGGAAAGACAGTCACTTCGTTTGCTGTCCTTGAGCATGAGGATAGGTTCGTCTACGTCTTTGGGTGTAACCAGGTGTGCAGTCTGGACTTGATCAAGACACAAAAGTTTGTGACTGAGTTATTGGAGACCTTGTCTGGCTTTCATCAGCTTGATGAAACTGCTCAGGGTCCGGTGAGGAGGGCTGTCTTGGAGATGATCTTGGCGTTTAATATGCCGAGGTTGGACATTTATCTCAAGAGCCTTAAGGGGCAGTTAGAAGAGTGTCTAGAGTTCTGTGGGCGCCAAACAGATCAAAGCGGTGAGTTGGATGACGTTCTGGGACAGCGGAGAGTTAACTGGCCGTAGTAGCTACCGCGGTTGGAGCAGGCCTCAAAGTCTTGGGTGACGCCATCGCAGACATTGCATTCAAGAGACTAGATGAAAGCGAATGCAAGTATACAGAAATCACCGTTCAAGCTGTTCTAACCTAGAGCTTCTAGACCTCCCATCATACAATCGCTTCCTGCAAGCTCTCGACGTCTTCTTAACCCCCCAAACCAAGGCATTTGTTGACGAACGTGCCCTGAGAGGACGCATCCAAGACGGGAGAAGCTTCGAGTGCTGGTCTGAGCTGAGACACAACCTCTCTCGTCTTCGAAACTACCAAACCGCGGTGCAGAACCTCATCGACACGGAAAAGGAGTGGCCGGAGTTGTTCCAGGAAGTCGAGGTGATACCCATCTCATCGAGCAAAGCGGATCCCAACCCCCTCGGCAGGAAGAGTGGGGCCGCCGATGCTATCATCGGTCGTATGGAGGACGAAAACGCCAAGAGAGAGAGGTATCTCGGGGTTGCTCTGGAATTACAGCGGATGCAGTTTGATGATCGCATCCAGAAGCAGTGCCAATTGGACAGCTTCACGCCCTTTGTGCACTCCGAAATACTCGTCCTTGAATGGGTAATGTCTAATGCTTCTAGACTGGAGCTTGGCTTTTTCCATGGATGGAAGTACATTGGGAGTAGCAAGGGAGCCTGCAGGTTGTGCCACTACTACTTCGAAACGCCAGGTCAACACGGCGGTATCAAGACACGGTCCAGCCACGGGAATCTTTACGTCAACTGGAGGTTTCCTGACTTGTACGAAGAAGACGGGCCAGAGGGGAAAGCACGCCGGCAGGAGATCTTTAACTGGATGATGAACAGGGTGCGAGACGATGCGTTCCAGACAATGGAGAGCAGGGCGTCGACTGGAAAGAGGCACGACTCTAGCACGCATACTCTCATGTCAGTGCGGCATACTGATGCGCAGACAGATGTGGGAGCTCGTGATTTAGCTGATGTGGATGAGTTGGGAGAGCAGCTTGAGAGGGGTCTCAACTTGGATGACTCCCCCACGACTGACAGCCCAGAAGACTCGGGATCAGATGACGATGAAGAAGGTGGTACCAGTCTCTTCTGACGTTGCTTCACAAGGGGAGGGAAAGAAGTCTCATTTTATATGCTGTATTTAGTGTCCTCGTTTCTCATGTTTCGTGTATAAGTGTTCTTCCGCATCTACCAAGCCGCTGTTTAATGATCATTCCTCTTGTGCCAGGGAGCAGTCGCCTCCAAAAGATCCTTGTGAAGCTGGCTGTCACCGCTAACGTTGTAGAGATCATCAATGACCTGGTTGCGCTGCATAAAGATGAGGAAGCCAGCCCAGACAAAGTCGGCGTAGCTGGGAGTCTTGCCCAGGAAGAAGGGTCCCTCCGAGTTCTCCTTGAGAAGAGCCTCGACCTCTGCGATGACGGGCTTGGCAGCGTCCCAGGCAATCTGGCCACCCTTTTCCTTGTTGAGCTGGTCAAGTGGCATACCGGCCAGCTTGGACCGGGTCTCGTGCCAGTAGGGAACACTCTCTTCGTTCAGCAACCGCTCGGGGACGGTGGTGAAGTAGATAGGTCGAAGGGGTCCCATGATACGGGGCATGATCTCCTCCAGCTTAGCCAAGATAGGTGAGTCAAGGTGGATTGAAGGCTCAGGGTGCTCCTTTTCCACACGCTCAACAATCTTGCGCGAGTCCATGAGATAAGTTCCATCAGGGAACTTGACGGTAGGAATAGTCCATGTTCCTGTCGCCTCGTTGGCCGAGACGCTATTGCGGGGGTTAGTCAATTGATGGGCAGACATGGTGGACAGCAACGCACTGGGGTTCCAAGGTGGGCTTGATGTTTGGGTACTCGAGCTATTGAGGGTTAGTAAAGCAATTCGCTTTTAATTGAGGTTTTATCTCACCCATTCAGTCTTGTAATCGATGCCCTTGAAGTTGAGGAGGAAGCGAGCTACCGGGTCAGTACTTCACTCTAGACTAGGGGCTGGGCATCTCACTCTTCCATGGGTTCAAAGACCAGGCAGCACGAGGAGCCTTGCTAGGAAGGTCAAACAAGACAGTCTGATCAGAAGACATGATTTCCGTGTACAACAAAAGTTGGTGACGATGAGAAAAAGAATGAAGTTGTAGAAATGGCGGGGACCTCAGGTCATGATCTTTAGAGGCGTAGAGGGGCAGGTGGGGTCAGTGTCATCATAAACGCCCTTTTGCCGGGGCAGCTTCGGCCAATCAAACTAAACGAAATTGTCTCTGTCAATTAACCACCAATTACTACATGACGATAAATACCCCAAGCTATCAAGGTCCACTGGCTGTCTTTGGAATCATTGTTAAGACGTGGAGTCATTATTGTGAATGCCTCGTCTTGTTCTAGCTCTGTGGTTCTGGACTTGTGGTTTATCTACAAGATCTGACTTGTGCAGCTCCTAACCTCGGCTCGTCTCGGATCACCATCTTCGAGCAGAGATGAGAAGGTCAGACACGAGAAGGTCCGAAGATACGGCTCATGATGTTTATTTGTATCGAGTTTAGAGGTTGTAGTTGTCTTCTTGGTTGCTATCACTGATTTTCACTCTCTGCGGTTGAGAGGAAGGCATTCGAACGGAGACTTCCTCACTCGTTGAACACTCATCGAAAGGCGGTGACAGGTTATTGGACCAGACCAACTCGGTCGAAATGTCCCATGCCAGTCCTGAGCCTCCTGTTGAAAAGGAATCACCAAGCCCCTCCGTTCATAATGGAGACGGGGGAAGGTTGACAGTTGAGCCCAAAAGCCAGCGTGGTTCCTCAAAGGAAAAGAAAAAATCCGAAAGGAAATAGAATATACACACCTACATAAACAGTATGAAAGTGAAGAATCAGCAGCAGAAATTGGCTGAAACTACCCCCCGAAGGAATATCTGCCTCAGTTGCAGAGGATGAACCCGACCATGAACTTGGTCTAGGTTGAATCCACGTCGCGGGTGTGTTCGTCCTCACCAGGTAGTGCTTGACTTTAAAACATGAATTTAGGAACTGGCCTGCATTACTTGTAATATTTTTCATCGTATCGAAAAAAAAAAATCGAGTTCAAAAGTAATCAATTCAAGAGCCAGCGAGTCAAAGACCAAAGCAGTGCTACACACGATAAGTTCTCGGGAAAACGATGCAAACGGCCTGAGAAGAAAAGTTAGACATGAATCGAATAGATGCCATGATCGCTTACATGAACTCCAAATTTTGGTATCCAAGCTCCAACTTTGCTCGATTTCTAGCTTAGTGAAGTTGAGAAAAAGGCCAACCTGTCACAAAGACGAAAGTGATCGGCTATTCTGGTCATGGATTAGAAGACAATCTTGCCGTCTAGTGAGTGAAATAAGACAAACGATGGCCTCACTCAGCTGGTCGTAGAAGATGCTGATGATGTCGAGTTACCCCATCCGCTCAAGGGAGACCATGAGGCCGTCAAAGTGCGAGATGGAGAGAACAAAGCCTTGCCTTTGATCAAGGCGAGAGATCATAGTCTTGCAGGCCAAGGTTAAACGTTTGGTCTCTCATCATTTTGGAAAAGAAGTGTTTGGCCAGTATAAGACTAAAGAAGGGAATATGCAGTTTGATTATTGTCTGTTGAATGGCAATCATTTTGACTTTCCCACTGATGTAGAAACTCCTTATAGACACACTGACTTGGTCTTGTTTCCCACCCCCTTTGACTCATTCAAATCAAGTTTCAGCCACTATTCGCAGTTCGCATCAAAAACTCTTCAAAACATGATCTAATCCAGTCCACTCAACAAAAGTCCCATCCCTCTCCCTGCAGCTCGAATTTCAGCCCTTCCGCCAAGAACGATAAAACAGCGCGACCGCTACTCTCATCTCGCAACGGAACCACTCCGCGCAGAATAGCGTCCATCATGGCATGTAGTTGAAACCTTTTTTCGATCAACAATCACGGTAGTATTTGAGAGTTGAATGGAGTTTTTACCAAAATGGGAAATTCTTTTGCGAGCTCGTGCAGGGTTACATGACAACATCCCTGACACCTGCGTAAGCCCACTCCGTAGATCAACTCCAGTTGACGAATAGCAAAAGAGTATTGTGCGTCGACTCCAATTGGTGCTTTTAGGCGCTTCTGCTTATGTGGTTTTGTGTTTCTGCCTTGGTCTCTCATCTCTCTTTTCCTTGATCGATATACAAAGCGAACGCTGCCCCGTACCATCGAGACTACTGCAAAGACCTTTTTTTTTTTCTTTCTTGCTTTGCCGCAGTTTACGCCATGTCTGATAAGGACACTAGGGTTTCGTCGCCTGGCGGTGCGCCACCTTCGTACAACGCTGCGACTGGTGGCTATGATGAGAAGCCGACTCAAGCGCAACGTCAACCACAACGGCATGTGACATGTGTAGTAGGCAAAATCTAGCTAGTGCTAACGTGAGTAACAGAGTTGTGAATACCTTCATCGATGATGGTGGACTACCCGAGGTTGTCACACAAGACCACATCGCCAAGGACATGGGATACGACGCCCCAATCCCAGTAAACCCAGATCCAACACCCATGACGCAGCTATACGAAACAACAGCAACAGTGACACCGCTGCACCTCCTAGGAGATCAGTCAGACACTGTGGACTGTCCGTTCTGCAGACACCGCGTGGAAACCCACGTCAAGAAGAACCCCTCGATGCGAACACAGTGAGATCCTTCTTTCACAGTTGAGACATGATGAAAACTAACATGATTTGATAGCATCACGGCAACAGCTCTTGGAATCACAACTATTGGCGGAGCCGTTGCGCCATACGCCATGGGCTGGAACAGCCATATCAGCCACTACTGCACAAACTGCAACCGCAAAGTGGCGTACAGACGATACGGAACGCACGAAATGAAGCCTCTGGGGACTCCTGATCATCTGAGGGAGGTTTCGAGGTATCCAGCTATAGCTTCACCAGCTCAGGCTTGGGGCCCGGGAACACCGCCTCCAGGCAGGTAAACAACCTGGAGCTTCTGCTTTTATCGTGTTAGCGTGAGATGTACGTTTATTTAGGCCTGGTTTGCTTGAGACTGCTATCTGGGTCACTGTTTTGATATTCTATGGGCTTCAGGGGTTTCAGGAGGCAGACAATCAATCTTTCCTTTTCACGTTTTTGGATGTATACAGAAGCCTCGGTCATTCTAGCTTCTGTGAAGAATCTCATCTTTACCTACGTATAATAACTTCAAATTTAAATCACCACCAACAGATGCACCCCTGCTCATGCTTTTTGCCAAAACACCAAAAACCGGCCGTGACAAGATGTCCAACCCCTCCCTCTAGGTACCCAGAAAATCACCCAAGACTCCTCATAAAATGCATATCAGCACCCGCTGCTGACTCTAAACCCCTCCCTAACCCTCTCTACTAAGACATCCGTGTCGCTCTCTTGGAGCTGCGTTCGGATCTTTTCAATGTCTTGGAACGCCTTGCTCGACTTGAGACTCAACAGGCTGCTGGCTCTTACAAACTGGGCGTGGACCCAGTCTTTCTGCCCCGGCCTTAGAGCCTCAGCGAGAAAAGAGCCGTGATCTTCAGTACAGAGTGCGAGGACGTTGCTCAGGGTGTTAATGGCATGCCACGCCCCGTATGCGACCGCAGAGGCCCTGTGCGCCTCAACCGTGATGTAATTGTCGCTCGTCATAAAGTTGACGAATCTCTCGTCCCAGGGTTCGAGGTTGTGGTAGCTCGGGTGGATGATTTTCGAGTTTGTCAGTTCCAACACTGTGGGCCGGACCGTCTGGTTGCCTAGATAAAATGGGATGCTATTGCATATCGAGTCGACCATGTCCTGCACTTCGTCCTCGGCGTTACAGATGAGCTCCACCTGCGTGTCCGAGTCTTCCTCCCTGGGCAGCATCGTGTCGAGTATCGAGTCCGGGGCCAGCTGGAGGATCGACAGCTTCATCTTGAGCAGGAGCAGCCTGTAGCCCCTCCAGGTGTTGGAGATGCTTGCGACTTGCACCGACGGGTACACATCGCAACCGTCGAGGTACGTTGGTATGTGAGGAGTGACGTCCTGTACCTGGTTAAGCCTCAGGGCGTGGAAATGCCTTGGCAGATGCTCTAGCCAGCCA